GGAAAAAGTACCTAAGTAACTATACGCAGGAAGATGTACTGTAATTGCAACGGCATGTGATTAACAATTAAAGAATGGGTTTAGTGAATTTAGGGAATCTTAATAGTGTACAAATTTATTGGACTGCGATAATTTTATATCGATTTGGACAGGCAAGTCTAAAAATTCTGTGAATGCATGAATATTTACTACGTATTTAGAAGTATGTATCTAGTAAATGATGTACAGGGTGTATAAAAATTATACGTCACGACCATTATAGCGGGATTCTACACCCCTGGATTGGTGGAGATCTGGTAAAAAAATGGATCGCAAAATTAACTTTGAAAGTCAAGGTCAAAAGGTCAAAAATTTTTTTCTATTGCATCGCTGAAGCATATTTGGACATACATCCATTGGTTTACATTGGTCGCTACATGGAAGCGTGCTGCAAGCGTCAAATGTCTATGAAGCGTCAATGACGAGACGCCTTAGTGGACAGTCGGCCTTACAGAAGTGATAAATTGACAAACATCGCATTTTCACGATAGTCTGACAGCGATATGCAGGGTGGTCTGGTTTGCTTTTGACGAGAAAACCATTAAATTGTGTGATACTTGGTAAAATATGACTTGAGCAGCCATCTTGTGTGTTTACATCGACGTCTGTCTCCATCACACACTTTATAAAATGCTAGTTCTTTCAACATATGGTGTTTATTGGTGTTTTTAAGGACCGGACTACCCTGTAGTGAAGTCTACCCGTTAGTGCCGTACCCGCGGAAACTTCATTTCTGCAATTATTGAGACGGAAGTTGGATTCTTCGAAATCGACTGTTTCTCTCGTGCATCGCATATGCATACACGGCAGAGATGGGCAAACTTGTTATTTCAATAAAGAGTTTCGAATAACAAATAAGAGATAAAAACAATATTTCGTTATTTTAAATTGTTTAAACGTGGAAATTTCAATTTTTATAATAAAATAATACTTCTTTATGAATGAGTCGATATTTGTCGAACAATTATTTAATCTTATTAACTGTTTAAAGCTCGGGACGACGCCCTTAGATACTGCTGCTTTTCACTGTGTATTATTCGAATAAAATTATGTCTAACTAAATCTAGTTTTTTTTTTTTTTGCGAACTTTAGTACGCGCACGCAACCAGTGCGAGTGCAACATAATATAAAGTATATTATTCAATGTTTATACAGTTGAATGCATCCCAATATAACTTAAAACTCCTGATTCCACCACTAATTAAATATGTTAACCGTGCCGTACATACCTATGAACTGTGCGGATACTTCTGCTAGTGGCATAGTATGAAGTTCTGAAGTGAACACAATGCATAAATAGCTTAAGTGACAGTATTTTCCACGCAAATAACGCAATATTAAATGCTACAGTTGCAACTGACAAGAGAGAAAAAAAGCTGCAAGTATGTATCGAAATTGAAATGCCGATCTCGAATTAATATAAATCCACGGATCAGCGACGTTTCAAAGCTATCGGCTAGAAATCGGTATTGCATTTGCAGATGGAACGAACACGTTCAAAAGTCACCGTCGTGCTGGCGACGTTGCTTGCTGTTTGGACACTTTGTGCATGAATTACAGCCAACGAGTAAAAGCAAACCGCGTTTTACTTGGCATCGCAGTTTAACAGGGTTAAGTCGCCGCGGTCCCGGGCTTTTAACACAAACAACACAGTCCTGCATTATACATCAAAAGAGCGAAACGCACTTGCGACTGTTTTAATATGTACCGCTCAGAATTCAGGGACTATGTGGCTATGTCTCTGTGCAGAGACATAACACGGACGGTGTACCCAGCCACCATGCTTTCCTTTCCCATCCTTTTTTAATGTCGTCAAAAACCACACTGCTAACCATGGGCGTAGCCGGGTTATCAGTCAAGGGGCAATGTAATTTTTTTCCTTGCGGGAAGGGGGGGGTAAAGTTCAATATTTTCCTTCTAAAGTAGTGCACAACCCACTTTTTCCGTCCAGGGGGGGGGGTAGTGTCCCCCCAGCCCCCCTAGCTACGCCTATGCTGCTAACTCTCGGATCTGTTGCGTTTCATCTAATACTCGCTCAACTTTCGAGTTCTCACCGAACGATTCCCAGTGCTTTTTATATTTGAATGCGAGTCGTTAATATTTCATGAATCTAACAGAGGGCAGCGTTAATGTGTAAATAGGTGTTACCCTATTATTACACTTGGTCAACAGAGTATGTATTTGTTCATCGGAAGTAGCATCAAGAACATTGTAGTTTATTAATCTGTGCTAGGAGAATATAAGGTCTACCCAGACGCATATCTGCACACTATTAGTTTCGTAATGTGTGTATCCACGAGCAAACTCGGCTTCCACTAGGGGAAAAAGTGGCGTAAGAGAAAGGCCTCCTACCACTTGGTAAATTTATTTCAAGTACTGAAGTAAATGTTAAATAGAATGTTAATTTGGCATAAATTTCAATAATTTCCGATACCAAATGTTAGGAGGACCTTTTCGAACGCCACTTTTTCCCCTAGCGGAAGCCGAGTTTGCTCATGAGGGTACACCCACGAGCAAACTCGGCTAGGGGAAAAAGTGACGTAGGTGAAGGTCCTCCTACTGTGCTCCTTCCTCTGGGTATTTGGAATTACTGAAATTTATGGCAAATTAACATTCGATTTAATATTAATTTCAGTATCTGGAATAAATTTACCAAGTGGTAGGAGACTTTTATTCTACGCCGCTTTTTCCCCTAGTGGAAGCCGAGTTTGCTCATGAGGGTACACAGAATGTATGTATAAGGTACCTTCACGAGCAAACTCGGCTTCCGCTAGCGGAAAACGTGGCGCAGGGAATTTAGTATCGGGAATTACTGAAATTTATGCCAAATTAACGGAATTATCGTACGATTTAACATTTATTTCAGTACTTGAATTAAATTTACCAGATGGCAGGAGGCCTTTCCCTTACGTCACTTTTTCCCCTAGCGGAAGCCGAGCTTGCCCGCGAGGGTACATGTATCTAAGTAACCATGTACACTTCAATTATACTACATAATTGTGGAAATTATTGTGTAACAAATATAAATTGTCCGAATGTTGCAATAATAATTAAAATATTGTATGTATAACAAGGCCCGTCTACAAGTACAACACCTGGGCGGTCGAACCCAGGGGCAGCCGCAGATCGTTTATTATATGTACAATTTTGACTAGTAAGAATAGGAATCTAGACTTTTTTTCCCTTGTCCCGCGGTTGGGGGCAAAAGTTTTTTTATGATAACATCAAGAAATTATGACTAAAGTTCCTAGTTAATTGGTACTTATTTTCATTGGTTTCAATAAATAATAATCATTATTCTTAACGTTTTATGTAATCGTTGTATTACATAACATATTAAAAAATAGTAAAATTATACTAACGACACTAAAGAAAGAAGATTGTCTTTTTATTTCTCTGCCTTATAAAGTTATAAGTAATACTCAAAATTCAAGGCCAATCAATTGGCCCTTTTTTGCTGACTATTTGCCGATTAGTCGCCGACTACAAAAGTGGCTGGATAGTCGGCATAATCGACTAGACGATCACCAGTCGGTACATCTCTATTACATATCTTCGTAATCAGCTTTAAATACATATACATATAATGTACAATATATTAAGAAACTCTCTTATTGAACGAAGTTACAAATTTTTAAATTTCATATTCAGTGTTTAACAGAATTTGTATAGTTTAGAATATAAAATTGAATCAGTATTCAAAGTATAGTGTAATACAATGTTGAATGATTTCAAAAGTTCCTCAATCGAATGTTGTTAACAGTTGTATTGACATTGCATAGTTAGAGCTTTGTGGATGTATAAAAAATCTATAAATGTTGTATTGGTTTGATAGAAATTGTAAATATAGCAGGAAGTATGTATGTGTTAAACATAAACTAAAAAAATATGTACATGAATTATCAAATGTTTATAATGACCTGTCCCTCGATTACGTGAATTGGAAAATTTTCAGAACGTTCTTTGTTATATGTACCTACGTATAATTAAATAAATAATTGTAAGGAGTGGCAGATGAATGATTTTTTCGACACTTCTCTTTTCTCTTTGATCGATCGCGCAAACCCTCGGAAGGTCCCTTACATCGACATTTGCACCCGTAATTACATTTTATCACCCTACATGCGCCTGTGATTCAATTAGTGAGTGAATAAGGGTAAACAATATAGACCGATGTAAAATATATTTGCAAATTGCCATGTTTTATAAGTAAAATAAAAAGGGTGTATTATTCGTAACACATTTAAAAACAGCTGCTAATTGTATAAGAAGAATTTTCTAAAAGCAAAACATGTTTTATTAGAGAACGTAATATATTTAATCAAGCGAGGTATTATTACAATACTAGTCGTTTTTATTGATTAATGTAGGTACTTGGTTACACCTTCCTAAATGAGAATTATTATCAGTAGTCACTAATTACATGTTAACGCAAATAGTAACCAATCAAAACAGACGATCGATTAAGATCAGATTTGGCTGAAACCTCTCTAATTTGGAAATTTGTTGTCAGGCACTACAATAAATTCCGTGAAACTTTATGTACGATTCTGGTAGCGATAATCTTTTAGCAAAGCAGAGCATCAAACGAAGAGCCTAGAAATAGTAATGTTTTCTGAAAATTCGTTTCAACTTTCAAAATGTAATGCAAGAACTTAGATTTTTAATAATAATTATATGAAGATACGTGTGTTTTATGGAGGACTGTAAAGAACCTCAAATACATAAATACTTCGACTAATAAAATTCTTTGAAGTTAAATAAATATTCAATGTCATATTTACAAAAGTCTACATTTCATACGCAACGAACTAATGTTTAATAATAATACTTTAGCAACAAAGTTTGTTCTCACTCGAGTTGTTTTCATTCTCCGACAAATATGTTTCTTTGAACATATAATGTATTACTTTCCTCATTAACTATATTGTTTTCTGAATTAAAAGGTGCGAAACACCTACCTGAATTCTAGCCTCGTTCAATTTGGTGGATCTCGCCAATTCCTCCCTGCAGTATATGTCTGGGTAATGAGATTTTGCAAATGCCGATTCCAATTCTGCCAGCTGCTCCTGCGAAACAATTGGAAGACTATAGTAAAGCCGATCTGAACTACCCGACAGGAAATTTGTGAGCAACGCGAAAGGTTCTGGTTCGATGTAATCGAAACGTCATATTGAAAAAAGAACGAGCTTATGTGAAAGTGATACCGGTGTCGAACATGGAAATAATAGACGCAAACGTTCCTGAAAAATCAGATGGACACTTTTTGCAGAATCATACATGAGCGTAGCCAGGGGAGGGGGGCAGGACGAAAAAAAGTGGCTTTTGCCCCACCCTACAAGAAAAAAAATTGGATTTTGCCCCCCCCCCTCCCTTTCCAGAGTTATAAAATTTTTTAGTAATATTTAATATTGCAGTATAATTTTAAACACGATCAACAGCCTCTATTAACAAAACGCATACATAATCAACGATCTATGACTTTGAAAAGAAAATAAATTGTGTCTGACAACGTACGGCCTTCTCCACTGTGGCAGTCGATGTGTTAATATTTTTGCCCCCCCCCCCTGACTGATAACCTGGCTACGCCCATGGAACCATATTTTTTATAAACAAACTAACGTGATTGTGGACACTTGGTAAAACTCGATGAAACAGAAAATTATATACAATATAATAATGAATTAATGTCCATGTTGAAGGCTGCATAATAATTGTTGACTTCAACTTTTTCAAATACAGTAGAACACCGATTATCCCAACTAATAGGAAGAAAAATCCATTCCGATAAACGGTTTTTGTATAATTTGCATAGGAAAACCAATGTTGCAATGATAATTTATTATTTATTTCTAAATATTCCGAGAATATCGTTATAATAGCAAGTCTCAAATACAGTAAATTGTATTGTCAATGAATTATCATTTAATTCAATGGAATTTTTTCCTTCTGGTTCGACTGTTAACTTAATTCTTTTATGAAACATTTGTGCCTAGTTCTGTGTTCCGATAATCGGTATCTGGGGTCATCCAAGTTTTCATAATCGATGTACTACTGTAAATTAGAGAAATTTTATGAAGCAGGAAGAATTTAAAAATACAAGTATCTTCGTAATGCAATGAGTTTAGAACAAACCTGTGTAAACGTGGTCCTGTGACGCCGTCGAGCAGGTGTTGGGCAACTCGCGGTAGTGGGAGTATGACCAATGTGCGGACTCGAAGCACAAGGGTCAGGCTTTAACTTTTTAAAAGCTCCTTCCACTCCTTCAAAAATAAAACATTGAAACGTCATTTAGAGTACTCTTAAATTGCCATTAAATAACAAGTAAAGAATATAATTCGTATTTAACTTCTTTGATCGCGTATATATGCCCATCATTATTAATAGACTGCGCATGTTTATGCATTTATAGGAAATTTTAATGTTGAAAATGTAGTAAAATAAAGACGTCAATAAAACTTAATACTATTTATATATTATTAACAACATAATAAGATATTCAGTGCAGGAAATAAATTTCTAACTCGCTTTATGTTTACAAATTAACGTCAAAGATTGTGATTTTACATAAACATCCGGCAGTCTAATTATTAACATGTATATATTTGCAAGGACTGATCATAAGGTTCTTATACCTTGTGTACAAATCAATTATTATTAACGTTAATAATAACTCCATTGGATCACCATGAAAATAACCTTCTTCTGCCCTTACACACCTTCAACATTTTGTTTTCCAGTATTCGAAAGCGGCGTAGTAAGCGGATACCGGAATCAAGCTAAAACTTTGTCCAACTTACAATGAGAGTCAGAACTAACTGTACAATTCACAAAACGTGAGGTTCGTGGTAATACTTCTGTAGCATCTTGGTATTGATCATGGTAGTAATACGGATGAATATGATTTCTTTAACGTTTTCGGTATAAATAACCAGCCAAAATGTCCGAGAAAAAGAAATTCGGAACTATAACCACAAAATTTGGTTAAGCATGGTGAATGTACTTTTATGGTTTGCGGGCAGCATGGCAACCTCTGATGTAGGACAATTGCTTTTTATTCATAGTACTATGGACAGATTTGGATATTTAAATATTTCAAAATCAAATTTAGCTGCAAGCATGGGTCTTTTAATGAGAGTTCATGACCCAAAATATGTATATAGCCAAGGTGGTGAAAAATTGTTTGCTGGAAAACACTTTCAATCAGTCAGGTCCTACTAAATGTTAGATTCTAAAGTGAGAGAAATAAATATGAATGAATCCCATACTTTCAAAATGTATACACTCACTTTTGACTCTCATTCTATAAGAATAACCTCACGCACGGACCAGTTTTCGACCGACCTGCGCAGCCCCCACTGCTGCGTACCGATCTGACGCATGCGATTGCTCGTAGCTCGCTATTTCTGCCGGTCTCCTACCAATAAACGTCATAGCCCGAGCGCGTGACGTCACAACCGCTAACGAAAGCACAGCGTAAGTGGGGGGTTCGGACGTTGCAACGCCTTCTTAGATCAATTCCATGCGTGAAGTGAGGTTATTTTTACGTTGTACAGAGAATAGCTCCTCCTACGCTTTCTCAATTATTCTCCCTCGTGTGGCAAAATGTCGTCCTTTTAGCACCCGCTTAAGACGAGGGAAAACGATGAAAATTTCATAAATTTATTCATAACCAGGAACGAAGCATGTGTCTACAGTTATGAAATGGAGACGAAGTAGTAATAAAGCCAGTGGGTGAAGAATGCTTAGCCAGATTCGAGGAAAGCTCGCATGTGTCGCTCAGACTAACATTTTAATAGAATTTTAATTACTTAGGGATCAAAAATAAAAACGTTACATCGCAGCACTAGTGCTATTTCACGGATATGCAGGCTTTTATTTTTTTGTTTGACTTCCAAACTTTTAGCCATCGCGTCGACGCGTCAAGGGAAGCTACTGGCGTAGTAAGCCGCGTCTCCATTGAGTCAGCATTTGCCAGGCGGCACAGCCGCTCGGTGTGTAGACTCGTGCGTGAACTTGGACTCATGGCTTGAAAAGCCGAACGGCATGCCGATTTGTTTCCCGACTGATGTTGGTAGACATAAAAAGAATTCGTGCCAAACCAGCAATGAGGATGCGTTTTCGACAAGGTAGGAAGGTCATTCCATGCCAAGTCGATCACTGTTTTCTCTTCATGGCTGGGATTTTTTTCAAAATGATAGAATTTAGTCCACGTGGAATTACGGGGAGGGGGGGTTAAGCCACCGTTTTTCGAATTTTAAATTTATTTAAAAAATGCAGACCTTTCAATTTTGTGACTTGTGCCAATTTTCATGAAATCGGGTTGTACTTATGAATTTATATCTTGGCAACTATTTATCGTATTCGGTTGAGTCCTTTTTGTTTGACATGAATAGATTATAAATAATATTGTATTTAGAGTCTGTTTATGTGAGAAAGTGAAAATTGACAAAATTACAGTTAATTGTCCTTTTGTACTTTGCTGCCGTCGAATTGTATGCGCTAGTTGTGATAATATAAACATGGAATAATTATACTCTTTTATAATAATTGATGTGGTTATTATTATTTTGTATACGAATAACGAATATCTGAATACAATCTGAGAAACCGACAATGAATTACATATATAGTAGGTACATAGTATTTGCATCGGTGAGGATCGCTCGAGTTCGACCGACGGTGACTTTGGTTATGTAGTAGCCTATCGATGTGAATCAGAAATGACTACCACATTGGATTCAGCGTTCAGTACTCGTAGGATTAATATCTCCACTTCTAAAAGCAGCTTACCTTGTAGGTAGGATTTGAAGGAATACGGTCATATTTTTTTCCAAGTTTACCAGAGAAATTTGTAAAAGAAACATTAGTTTCTAATTTTTCATGTTATAAAAATGATTTTTTAATTAACAAAAATATTATTCAAATAGGCCAAACCTTCTAAAGTAAAGGAAAGGGAAAGTGAACTCAATACGATTAAAAGTTTCCGAGATAAAAATTCATAAGTACCTACATCTCGGTTTTATGAAAGTAGGCAAGAATTGCAAACTTTGACGGCTTGTATTTTTTAAACAGATGCAATGAAATACAGATGTACCAGGAATATTGGCAAAGCCAAACGGCTAAACTGTTCCGCAGTGCTGTGTGAACTGACAAAAGGCGACGTAGAGTCTGTGTCGACTGGCAAATGCCGACGCAGATCCGTGCCGGACGGCAAATGTCGACACAATACGGACGCGGCTTTAAATAGATTAGTCGCCTGACTGGTTCCAAGGAGGAACCGCTCGCCAGTGTGGATGACAGTGAAACTTTTAAAGGACCAACTTGATCTAGCGTTTAACGGAACGTTGCTATATAATAAATTAATAAGACTGCATATTTTACTACAGCACTTTTCTACGCCCGTGTACACTAATTTTTTCCAATGTGCGTTACTGGAATTATAAGAAAAGTAGATACTACATGTGTGTGAGTAAACGTAGATTATACAGGGTGTAACAAAAATGTTGGAGGTCCCGGAAATGGGAGTCTCGTGAAGTGATTTGAAACAAGTTTTTCCTTAGCAAAAATGTTATTTAAGGCTTTGTTAACGAGATATTAACGAAAAATCCTTTTTCGTCTGAAATTTCGATCTTTAACCCTTAATAGCTGCTATCCGGTCAATTTGACCATAGCGCTATTTAAAATTAAAAAAACGCGGTTAATTTTGTAGTTGTGAATTAATGCCCCAGTGTATTTTCTCAGATTCTGAATGTCAGTTGATGTCAGTCGACTGGTAGACGCGCTGTTGTGTAGTCGTGCTACTTGTCAAGACATCTAATTGCCGAAACGTAAGACTTGTTACTTGTGTCATGCAAGAAAAGAAAGAAAAGCATCGCATGGTAGCATAACTTGCCATAAACCTGTGTGCTCACAATGCTCGAGACCTATTTGCAAGGTTATTTGTAAAGGATATTTTGTATCTAATATGATCATGTTTACTTCAATAAATGCTATAATTTTGACGATTTGTTCTATTTACTTATTCATTTCATTTTAGGAATGAAGGGGAGGGGTGTGGTGAAACAATACATATTAGAAGGGAAAATTGAAGGATGTAATTAGTGGTTACTACTAACCTCTAATGTAATGAAAGTACGATTTAAGCCTGCCGGTCAATTTGACCGGCTAGCAGTGTGATCGTACCTATAATACCTTCGCAACAGTTACGGGTTAAATAGTAAAAAAAAATTTTTTTAAATGGCCTCATGGCTCTTAGAGTATGTCATTGTATGTAGGTCAACGCAAAGTTTATGAAAAAATGTTGAAAATTGTCGAAGTTATCTGCTATATGCTGACGAGTTTGAAAAATGTGATTATGAGAAAAACGCGTTTGAAGTTATGTAAAAAAGACAAAAAATACTGAAAGAAAAAATATTTGTTTCCAATTTACAGTCTGTAAATTCTGCCATTATAGCAGCATACTATGGACTCTAGTGACTCTAGGCTTCCTAGTATTCGACGCGGCCGGATTTTTCGACCGTGCACTGTCTCACATTATGACAAATATCTTCTTTAAATATTGAGATATTGCTTTAATCCTTTTTGCCTAATATTTTACACATATAAACACCTGTTTAACACTAGAACTTCCAAGCAAGTCAAAATGACACGTCAATACAGTCTTACAACGACGATTAAAATGTTATGACAATACATTTTCTCAGATCTTCTGCACCTTTTAGTACTATATGAAAGTGAAGAAATTAGTTAATTTCTAAATCTCTACATTTTCAAAAGTTTTTCACGTTTATCCATCGATTGAAGCAAATATGTGTTTATCGTCGGTAGTTCTAGGTTAAGTGAGAACAGAATTGGATGTTTTGAAAATTGGAAACGTATGTAACCCCTTAAAAAAATATTATTCAAATAGGCCAACTCTTCCAAAATAAATGAAAGGAAAAATGAACTCAATACAATGAAAAGTTTCCGAGATAAAAATTCACAAGTACCTACACCCAGTTTCGCGACACTAGGCAAAAATTGCAAACTAGTATTTTTGAAACAAATGTAACAAAATGCGGAAGTACAACAAATATTTAACAAGCTAATCGAGTACACTGTTCGAGTGTACTGTGCGTGCCGGCAAAAGCCGCCGCAGATCCATGCCGTACGTCAAATGTCGCCTCAATGGGGACGCGGCTTAATAGTTCTTAGATTAGACCAACGAAAAGGAACAACTCGATCGTTGTGTGAAATGAAGAAAGGTTCGAACGGAGAAGCG